ATGTCGCGCGGATCCTCGCCTTCATCATGTCCCAGGTGGCCGCTGGTCCTTCGTTGGCCTCCGTTGTTCTCCACCAAGACTTGGCATTATCTGCCAAGTATGGTTTTGCACATGGGACCTTCTCCGAGCTCGGTAACCGTAACGCTCGGAAGTAGTCCTCCATATCGTAAAACCAATCCTCCACAACCTTATAGTCGTTCACTCCCTTGAACACCGGTGGGGGCTTTGGTTTGTACTTGGGAACTGCCTGAGGGACTGATTCCACTTCGGTCTGTTCGACCTTGTCTGGTTTTGCCTCAGTCCCTGCCGAAGGGTCCGCACCTTCTGCGCTGCCTTCATCCGCAGTCTTTCGCTTTTTCTTCCGCTTCTCGTCACGCTTTAACTTGCGTACGAGAGTCTCCAGCAGGGCATTGGTCTGTGCCAGCTGTCCTTCTAGCACGTCCAATCGAGCCTTGGACGACCGAACCTCGCCACCGGACTCCTGTTTGGAAGTTTCCTCACTAGAGTCCTCCTCATGCAAGGATTCCTCATCCATAGCCTCTTGTTCAACTGGAGGCTCCAGCTCCGGCGGAGGTTCCGTCTCCGCCTGGGTTCGCTTACGCCCTACCCTTGCCATCTCCCAGCAATCCGCCTCTATCCTTCGCTAGAACTGAGATAAAGGCTCCGATACCAAATTGTAAGCCACAAATTTTTCCTTTCCAATTTGCCAGCTTACCTCGTCTATCCGTCCAACACTGCCTTGGCTTTTGCTAAGTCCCCTCGCCAAGGTTCTCGCCTATGGTACCAGCTCCTACTTGGTTTCAGCTACTCACTGCACGAGCAACGGGGTGTTAGCCATCCTTCCACGGATTCCCAAATCACTCCCAATCCCCCTCCCCGGGTTAGACTGGACTTAAGGTTCGGCTACACTCCCCGCAAGCACAAGCAGCCAAGCACACCAAGCTTCTAGGTTCCTAACATCCCTTGGTACCACAAGACTTGATCATGGGACCCTCTAAATCCCAAGTCTTGAGTGCAACACTTGCTTCGGGATGCCGGGGCGAAACACCGTGGCCTAGCGGCCCGGTATGGGTACCTCTCGCCCCCCACTTCCATCCCGAAGGAAGGCCCAAGCCCCTAGGAAGGGCGAGGACCAATGAGCCGCATGGTACTCAAGTGGGGCACCACTCCACATAAGCCGGGAGCACCGCAATCGGTTTCCCTTTCGGGAGTGGGAGCTGCTCTTGAGCACTTCCTTGGATGGCCCCTCCGGCACCAGCCAAGTCCATGCTCACTCCCACCCAAGGCCCCTCGGTCCCAGTCTCAACCTCAAGTCGGTTTGGAAGCCCAACTGGAGAGTCCCTTCAAAACTGGTTCCTGGACCTCACTATCCCTACTATACTTTTGGAACCCCCTGCAGCCCCCCCCCCGGGAGACGCACGCTTTGGGCTTTCACCCCTTGACCCGTATTAGTATTTGGACTTAGTCTCTGGCTCGATCTCGGACCCGATTTCGGATCCGACTTCGGATTCGGGTTCGGACTCGATCACGGACCCGATCTCGGACCCGATCTCGGACCCGACCTCGGACTCGACCTCGGACTCGGTCTCGGACCCGATTTCGGATCCGGACTCCGTCTCGAACTCGGTCTCGAACTCGGACTCGAACTCGGTCCCCGAGTCGGTCTCGGACTCGATTCCGGACTCTATCTCGAACTCGGTCCTAGAGTCGGTCTTGGACTCGATCCTCGACTTGGTCCCATCCGATGAACTCTTTGTCATTTCGGTCAAGCTTTTGGGGATCCTTTAGCCTACGACATCTCGGGGAGTCGGTTCCTTACATACGGGTGGATAACTAGTTGCTTGTGTGGAGTATCCACAGATGAAGGTATCCACTGCGGAATTGTAGTACGGGTAGATAACTAATTGCCTCACATGGAATAATTAAGCAACATATGCAATATGGCACAAGCTCCATATGTTATGTCTAAGCCTCACTAGGAGACATCTCAACAGACAAAATGAGTACTTGCTTGCATTGGAGTAACAGAAGGATTGAGGTTCTAATAAACCTGTGCAATACTTCCTCCACATAAGCTTGTTGTGAGAGTGTCACAACTCCTGGCCGTGGTTGCTGAACTTGAATCCCAAGGAAAGTGTGCACAGGGCCAAGATCTTGCATCTCAAACTGGGCTCCTAGCTTTCTCTTGGCTTCAGCAAGCAAGATAGGACGACTGTTCTGGATGGATTGCAAGGTTTCTGTTCCAGGGAAGCTGCTAGCTACAATGGCAGTGGCTACTGTGAGTTCATCTGCGAGTTCATCACTGCAGATATCCAAAGTCGACTTGGCCACGTGAATCACAAGACGATCCAGCAGTTGCAGCGAGACCACGTGGTTGATGGCTTGGCCATCACGTCCTTTTCAATGCCATTATGCGAGCCATGCATCATGGGAAAGCAGCATCGTCGGGCGTTCAACTCTGGTGGGAGTGTTCAGTTCAGCTGGTTCACTCAGACTTATGTGGCCCTTTTCAAGTGATGACACAGCGCAAGAAGAGGTACTTTATTTCGTTTATTGATGATGCTACGAGGTATGTGGCTGTTAAGTTCTTAGCTCCTAAGGACGAAGCTTTGCTAGCATTTAAGGCTTATAAGCATGAAGTGGAGAACCAGCTTGATTTAATTCACAGTTCCATACACTCCTGAGCTTAACGGGGTAGCTGAGCGGTTTAACAGGACAGTGGTGGAGCTGGCTAGGACGATGATTGCCGATGCTGGTCTTCCTCCTAGGGTTTTGGGATCATGCGATAGCCATGCGTAATAGGGTGTTGACCACAGCTATTCAAGGCAAGACACCTTATGAGGCTTGGCTGTCTAGCTTTTTCTCATGTTCCTAATGAGCTACGCGGGAAATTGGATGTTAAATCCAAGAAGTGTATATTTCTGGGCTATAGTGATGAGCAGCGAGGATATCGACTCCTTCATCTAGACTCAGGAAAGAGTTTGTGAGTCGAGATGTCATCTTTGATGAATCTCGTGTGTATTTTCAACGTCACAAGGATCCAGGAGTTCCTTCTACAGGTTCTTTGTGGAGAAAGTAGGGCGAGCTCACAGCCTGTTTTCTTTCATCCATGGGAAGATGAGGAGGATGATCCTCTACCTCGACTTGGCTGTGCTTATGCTCCAGCTGCAGGGGGAGCTTCAACCTCTGCTGTGACACGAGCTCCAGAGCCTGATCACGTTCCTGAGGTGGTTGCTGATCCTGAGCCCGAGCACAATATTCCTGAACCTGAGCGTATGGTAACCTGTGCGTCACAGTGACCCTGATATTATCCAGGTCTTGAGCCGCTCTGGTCGCCCTTTAACCTATACAGCGAAGGGTGAAGCTTATCAGCGAGAGCAAGCTGAGAAGCGAGCACGAGCAGCTGCTAGAGCTTCTTATCATCAGAGTTCAACGGCTATGTTCACAGCAGCAGAGGTGAAGATTCTTGTTACGCTTGCACAAGCTAAGAAATCTCCTTATGCTGCTGTGTGGGGTGCGAGCTCATGCAACAAATGAAACCTGGTATCTTCCTGATGAAGTTCCTGACAATGCTAATGTAGTTTCGACAAAGCTACTTTTCTGCGTGAAAGCTGGACCTTCAGGAGAAGTGCAGTGCTTTAAAGCTAGGCTTGTGGGACGAGGCTTTACTCAGATCGAAGGCATAGACTTTACAGAAACTTTCAGCCCGGTCGTGAAGATGGCTTCTACTAGGCTGTTACTTGCTTTAGCAGCGCAGCATGATCTTTATGTGGAGCAAATGGATGTGAAGACTGCATTTTTACATGGAGAAATTCCTGAGGAGGTTTACATCCGGCCTTGATCCGAGCCAGAGGATTTATCGGCTGAAGAAGGCTTTATATGGCCTCCATGCATCTGATTCTTTTCTGATTTCTCTTGGATTCCAGAAAAACCATGCCGACTCAAATGTGTATATGAAGATTGAGGATGGTGCTTTGGTCATTTTGGCCTTGTATGTGGACGATGGTATCTTCTTGCTGAAATCAAGAGAAAGCTAGGAGCCCAGTTTGAGATGCAAGATCTTGGCCCCGTGCACACTTTCCTTGGGATTCAAGTTCAGCAACCACGACCAGGAGTTGTGACACTCTCACAACGAGCTTATGTGGAGGAAGTATTGCGCAGGTTTGGGCTTGAGAACCTCAATCCTTCCGTTACTCCAATGCAAGCGAGTACTCATTTGTCTGCTGAGATGTCTCCTAGTGAGGCTGAGACGCAACAGATGGATCTTGTGCCATATCGCCAGGTCGTTGGATGCTTAATCTACTTGGCCGTTTGTACCCGCCCAGACATTGCTTATTCTGTGGGAGAGGTGGCTAAGTATATGGCAAATCCAGGCTGGCAACATTGGCAAGCTGTGAAGTGCATCTTGCGCTATCTCAGAGGCACTGCTAATTTTGGCCTGAGCTATCAACGGCATGTTTCTGGTCACGCATTTATTTTGCAAGGCTATGCCGATGCAGATTATGCAGGGGATTTAGACGACAAGAAGTCTACATCCGGTTATTGCCTTTTCCTTGGTGATGGTGTGGTAACTTGGAGCAGCAAGCGGCAAGCTGTGACAGCCTTGTCGACAACTGAAGTGGAGTATCTAGCTTTGACAGGGGCAGCACAAGAGGCGAGCTGGCTTTGTGAGCTTGTAGCGAGTATGCAGCTACGGCAACAAGGACCCACGGTCATTCTCTCGGATAATCAATCAGCAATTGCTCTTTCAGAGAATCCGAGATATCACGCCAGGACGAAGCATATACAAATAAAATACCACTACATCAGAGAACAAGTGATGGGAGGAGAGCTGAGGCCCAGGTTGCTGATATCTTCACTAAGGCTCTTCCATCTATTGTTTTCTGCAAACATCGAGAAGCGCTTGGAGTACTCGCAGGGCTCCAGCTAGGTGGGCGGCAATGGTCACGCTGGTGATAAAGATCCAGGTGGGAGTGTTAGAGCCACGTGGCGTACAGATTCTTTCTTTCCCAAACCAAACCCTAATTTTGTGGAGGAGGGAGGAGAGCTCGGCTATGGCGGCAGCGAGGGCTTTTTCTCCTCTTCCTAGCTTGCGGCGGGCGCCACGGCAACGAGCGGCCGCTCGGATTCCAAGCTGACATCCATCCCAGGGGATTGTTCTGGGTGCATGGCCTCCTTAACATCAAAATTTGAGCTGGAGTCATCTGTTTCAGATTCGGAGTACTTGATATCGCGGTATGAAGCCGCTATGAAGGCTTGGGAAGATCTAAGGGATCCAGCAGTAGCTGTTGACTTGTACAGACGCGCAGAGACATATCTGCTGGACACTCTAAAGCTGGATTCTGTAGGGAGCATCGATGGCGGAAACTTTGGAAAAATCTTTAAAGGTACGCTGATGGAGAGCCATGGAGAGAGGTTTGAGCTTAGCAGAGGGCCTTGGGTTAACGCAAAGAGGCACCAAACGCCGTCAAGGTCCATTTTGAAAGGCGACCACAGCGAGAAAATGATAACAGTCGCTGTTAAGAAAATCGACACTGGCGAAGTTGAACTGGATGAGGTTGTGGAAGTCTTGAGGGAGGCCTGCAATGTAAGGGTGCTACAAGGAACCAGGAATGTGGTGCATGTCTATGGGGTTACCCGCAACAGCGATCTCAATGGCGTCTGCATCGTCATGGAGCTCGTGGAAGGCCCGCACGGTGATCTTAGCAGGTTTCTTAAGTCTCGGGGTCCGGGCTTGGAAGAGCTTCCATCTTGGTGGAAGACAAAGCTGGAAATCTTCATGGAGGTGGTGGTGGGAGTAAAGACTTGCCATCGAAATGGCGTTTACCACGGAGATCTCAAAGGTAGAAACGTGCTTTTGGACAGCTTCTGCACGCCCAAGCTCGTAGACTTTGGATTCAGCTTCAGGGTGAGAGACGTTGACTACCTCAACTCGCTGGGCGGGTCGCTGTTCTGGATATCGCCTGAGGTTTCAGATGCGCTGGATGATCCAGAAGGCTTTAAGCTCATTGTGGACAATCCTTTCCCATCAGATGTATACTCCTTGGGCATGCTATGGATCGAGATGTCCTGGGATGGTTTCATCCCTGATGGCCCTGAGAAGCGTGATGAGATCAAGGAAATTATTGACAACAAGAGATTCCCAGGCTGTCCAGTGACTCTTGAAATTCCACCAGGCTTGAAACAGCCTGTGATCGAGCCAGTTTTTGACGAGCTCTTTGCCATGGTTGACGGCTGCTGCCAGGACCGTACAAATAGATTCTCCCTGGAGCAGTGCCTGGAACATGCACACGCTGCTTATGATAAGCTATGGAATGTCGTCCGATGCGACAGCTGCAACAACAACAACAACGATGATCTTGCATTCGTTTCGTCGCCAGAGTACAGGGACATGCTCAACCGTCTCAGGACAAGGTTCCCTAACGTTCTGGACGCTTTCGTTGAGCAGCCAAGCAAGAACATGGTGGTGGACATTGACGGGAACACGCTGCTACATCTCTTTTGCAAGATTGATTTCAAAATGGGCGTCGAGTATATCATGGACAGAGCGGGGGTCACTTGGAGTTTCAACCCTGAAAGGGATGTTTCCCGACTGTGCAGCATCTGCGCCCGGCCAGGGAGTCCAGCTGTGCTGCGCTTCCTGGCCAGCAAATGGAGAGACATCGTTGTGCAGGAAGAGTGGCTACTGCACGAAGCATGCGATGGCCAAAGTGACGAGGTACTGTCCTATCTTCTCTACGATTTAGGAATGGACTACGATACATGGCACCCGAGCAGCAACCTGAAACCGCTGCACAGAATGGCGCATCAAGGCAACACCAAACTGATGAGAATCCTGCTTGACTATGTGCAGCAGCCCGACTACGTCAATGTAGCGCTGGTTAACGAGTTCCATACTCCACTTTCGTATGCCATCGAAGGTGACAAGGTGGGAGCGGTCATGTTCCTGCTTGAAAGAGGGGGGACTCTGGGAACGACACATGCGAATGACCCGCATTTTTTGAGAGAGTTGTTTTACCATGCCATGGACTTCTGGAGCTTAGCCGTGATGACAGCGTTTCTGGAGCTGGACGTTTTCGTGATTGATGCAGCTTCCAATGATGGGATAACTAGTTCTACAGCAAAGGTGGCGCAGCTGTTTCGACACAGGCATCATATCGAGCCCCAACACCGGGCTTTTCTGCCACTTCTTAGGATTTTTGTGGAGGCATGTAAGATGTATGGAGTGGAGCCTTTCAGCCATGCATGCTCGAGAGATGGGGACTGGTCAGTCTTCCAACTCCTCATCTCGCATTGGAAGGATCCAGCCCGACATGATCGCGTTGAAGACAGGTTGTGGAGGAGCCTGGGGGCAAATGGAAGCAGGGAAATGGTTGAGTACGCAGCCGGGGTGCTCGACTTTGACGGCTGGTCCTTTGCCTGCCTTGCGCGAGCCGCCCGGCAGAATGCTGAAGTGCTAGCCGTCTTGACAGAGATGGGGAAACTCCCACACGACACCGATGACGAGAGAAAGGATGAAAGCAGTACTAGCGCCTACCAGACGGGGGAGCTTGAGGAAGCAATTGAGAAGGGTGACGTTCATCTCGTTTTTGACAAGCTGCATAGCCTCCTCCGTTACGAGGAGGATTACACGGACGTGATCGCCAGTTTGGACCTTAACCAGGTAATTGATACCGAGGGAGGGGTGTTGGAAAAGCTGAGGAAGCTGATACATGAGCTTTCTTCCAAGGAGGAGTGGGCAGACTTGGGACAATCTCTCATGGCCGCGTGTGCTTTCAAAGGGGAAAAGGCCATGGTGGAACTCCTTATAAGTGAAGGTGGTGTTGTGCTGGACGGGCTAGAGTATCACCATGATCAAGTGTCAACACCACTGTTGCAAGCAGTTGCTAGTCAGGACAGTGAGATGGTGGAACTGCTACTGAGGGCGGGTGCGAGGCCCAACGCCGGAACATCGGGAGAAACTGCAATGGACATTGCAGCGCGATGTGGGAACCAAAGAATTGTTCGGCTGCTCATCCGCTATAACTTTGACACGGGCATGAGGGACAAGAACAATGCAGCGTACATGGACATTGTGGCATACATGACTTCGAGGAAATGGAAGAGGCAAATTGGATGAAATCGAACATCACAAAGTTTCGATCGAATTTGGAGGAAAGAGATTGTAATGTTTGTTGGTTTGATTCGATTCCACCTCCACAAAGGAGACTGATGTTGCATCACAACAACTCATTCTTTTAGTGCTCCCAAACATTGGGGGATATCCACATCACTCTCCCTGTATAGTAGCCACTCGCAGCTCAACACGTGGCGCCCGGCACGAGTACAGCCCGTTCCTTCCACGCACGCAAACGGGGTTTTGCACGTTGGGTGGGGCCCACGCCGCCACGGTGGCGGAATATGCGCTCTCTGCTGGGAGGGAATATGCGCTTGCTCGTCCTCTTTAAAAGCTTGCCCTAGCTCTCCTCTGTTCTAGGTCGAGGTCGGAGGTCCGAAGAGGGAGAGACATGGCGCTCATGGTGGAAGAAGCTCGTGGATTGGCGCATCTCGACGAGGTTGTCAAGGCTGGTAAATCGGTCGTGCTCCATTTCCGTGCGCCCTGGTGCGAGGCCTCCAAGCAAATGGATGTCGTCTTCGAGCAACTCTGTGCCGACACTGCTCCGCGGGCCAGATTTCTCCGGGTTTGTATACAATACTTCATCGATTTCTCGGATCGCATTCTAGTTTTCTTTTTCTTTTTCGATTCGCTGCTGCTTGTCTTGTTCTTTCTTCTTTGGATTTGGTTTCTCTTTCATCTTCCACGTTTCTAAATCGGTCACATTTTTGTTGTGGAGTTGTGAATGGCAAGTCTCATTCTTAAGTGAGTCTGGTTGTTGGTGGTGCTATTTTTTTTTCCCTTCTCTTCTGCCGTATGCCATGTCTCGCTTGACAGGGCGTGTGCTCGATTTCTCTTCTCTGATTTGCCTAGACTTGACTAATAAACATCCACCAATTATTGTACTCACAGGTTGAAGCCGAGGAGCATCCAGAAATATCCGAAAAGTACAGCGTTTCTGTGGTGCCTTACTTCGTTTTTATAAAGGTAGAAAAGGAAAAGTCACTGAATCGCTGCATCTGGTCGTTGTTTTCTTACTCTTGTGTGCTGTTTGTGATGCAGAACCAGGAGGTGATCGACAAGCTGGAGGGCGCGAATCCAGCCGAATTGGCCACCAAAGTTGAGGCTTTGGCGGGGGAAGCTGCTCCTCCAAAGGAGAATGGAGCGAGCAAGACGGAAATCAAGTCCGAGGAGCCTCCTCCTTCGGTGTCCGGTGAGCTCAAGTCAAAGCTGGACAAGCTCGTTAGCTCCAAGCCCGTGATGCTGTTCATGAAGGGGAGCCCCGAAGAGCCTCGCTGTGGCTTCAGCCGGAATGTGGTGAGTTTGCTCAAGGAGGAGTCCGTGGATTTTGGGAGCTTCGACATCTTGCAAGACGAAGAAGTCCGTCAAGGTTTGAAGCTCTACTCCAACTGGCCCACATACCCGCAGCTGTACTACAAAGGCGAGCTTTTGGGAGGGTGTGATGTGATAATGGAGATGCACAAGAGTGGGGAGCTGGGAGAAGCTCTCGCGGACGCCAAGCTAAAGTCGCAAGAGAATGGCAGCAAAGCTCACGCCAATGGATCCGACAAGGGACCGGAGGAAACTCTCGAGGAGCGCCTAAAGAAGCTTATCCACTCGCACGACGTGATGCTGTTCATGAAAGGGAGTCCGTCGGAGCCAAAGTGCGGTTTCAGCAAGAAAGTGGCGGGAGCACTCGAGGAGGTGGGAGTTCCTTTTGGCTCCTTCGACATTCTGAGCGACGAAGAGGTCCGGCAAGGCATCAAGTCCTTCTCCAACTGGCCAACGTTTCCGCAGCTATACGTCAAGGGCGAGCTGATAGGTGGATGCGACATCGTCATGGAAATGCACAAGAGTGGCGAGCTCAAGGAGGCTATGGGGGCGACAGAGGAAAAGGAAGACATCAACAGCCGGCTGAAAAAGCTGATTCACTCGTCCCCGACAATGCTTTTCATGAAAGGGACGCCGGAGGAGCCAATGTGCGGGTTTAGCAAGAAGGTGGCAAGCGCACTCAAGGAGGAAGGCATCGAATTTGGCAGCTTTGATATTCTCAGTGACGAGGAGGTGAGGCAGGGGCTCAAGGCATTCTCAAACTGGCCAACTTATCCTCAGCTCTACCACAAAGGCGAGCTTATCGGGGGCTGTGACATTATCATGGAGATGAAAGAGAATAAGGAGCTCAAGGAAGCTCTCGCCAGCTAAAGTTCCATCGTTTCAAGCGAATCGAATCCAAGCCAAGAGAAAGAAAAATAAAACCAAGATGTTTGTATTCTTATTGCTGCTACTCTTTCACTTCCACCGCAAGTGGGAGTGAAGGAACGCTTCGTGATTATCCAAAGCTCACTCTTTTACTTTTTGAGTTTGTCACTTAAGTTCGCTTTACTACTCCTTGCCATCGGCCTTCCTGAGCGAGCCAAGCTGGACAGGAGCTTGAGTTCCCACAACTTTGGAGGAGCTATAAGCAGCCATATCCTGTCCCTCAGAGATCTCCTCGTCTAGCTGCTCCTTGATCCACATATAAGTGATCCGGAGTCCATCCTACACACCACACAATCTCACGTTAGTTTGCTTCTGCAAAACAGGAGAGAGAGGAAGAAATAAATAAAAACTCGTTTTTTCACCTTGAGTCGCATTGTTGGGGCCCAACCGAGCTTCTCCTTTATCAGATTGTTGTCCGAATTTCTACCACGAACACCTTCTGGCCCAGGGATATGGTGGATTGGCAGTTTCTTGTCTCCAAAACCCAAGATAATCTCAGCCATCTCGTTCATGCTCACCATCTCATCACTTCCGATATTGAGCGGTTCACGAAAGTCCGACTTTGTCAGCCTGTGCACGACAAGAAAGAAAAAGCAAAAGGCATTTAGTATCGATCGACCATCAATTCCAGAAAGCAGAAAAAGAGACACACCTCAAAACACCCTCCACACATTCATCGATGAACGTAAATGATCGTGTTTGCTTCCCATCACCCCACATCTCAAACTTATCAGTGGAAGTTAGAGCTTTCCTACAAAATGCCGCTGGAGCCTTCTCCCGTCCACCTGAATTGTTTTTCATCAATCACCAATACATGAGCTACGAGAGTAAAGAACAAACTTTAGACCGCTCACCTTTCCAGGTACCAAAAGGCCCATAAATATTGTGAAATCTTCCAATCCGGCACTCGATTCCAAAATCCTTGGTGTAGTGCTTGCACAGCTCTTCACTGCAGAGCTTCTCTAGTCCATAAGCATCTTGAGGCTAGAAAGAGCAACATGAAAAACAAAAAGTTTGAGAAACAAGTTGTTTTTTTCTTGGAAGACAGCATACCTCTGCTGGCCAAGCATCCGATTCCTTGAGACTCACGTTCGTTTCAAGTTGCTTGAATTCTGGGTAAATGCATGCGCTGGATGCATAGAAAAACCTGGGAGAAGGAAAAAGTCAAAATACCAAGGAAAAAAGAAAAAGATTTTTCCAAACCTTTTGACTCCATTGATCCGAGCTGCTTCCAGCATGTTGAAACTGATCATGGTGTTGTTGAAAAGAATCACCGAGTGATTCGATTGTATGAATCCCATCCCACCCATGTCGGCTGCCAAATTAAAGACGTGATCAACACCCTTGGTCACCGCCAAGCAATTCTCCATCACTCGCAGATCCACGAGATGGAATTCGTGGCAAAACATCTCCTCGCTCATATGCTCGTTCTTCTTCCAATCCGACGCGATGACGTAGTGGCCCTCGGCCTTGAGCCGCCGCGCGATGTGTGATGCTATGAATCCTCCAGCGCCGGAGATGGAAATGCGAAGCTTTTCATTCGGCCAATAGGTCTCGCGCTCCAGCTCTGCCCCTGCGGTGTAATCGCCATAGTGGCTCCCCATCTCCTCTAGCTATCAAATTACAAACCTTTGGCTATCTCTCCTCTCTTCCCTCCTAATTTATACAAGCCCTATGTATGGGGTAAAAAGGCCCCAAGAAAAGAGCCTTTTACTATTTCCTTTTCACCTTTTTACAATTGCACGAAAATTTCTAAGGTATCTCAGTAGAGGTTCTATGCAACGCCACAAGAAAATTTCCCAAATGGAAATTTTCTCATGGAGGGTGGCCCGTGGGAAGGGAAGGAAGGGAGGGAGAATGGTAGCATCTGGTCAGGTATCTCCCCAAAAGAAGCTATTGCCACTCGTCGCGATGCTGGTGGAAAGCGATAGGTGGTGGTCTTGGTTTCGAGCTCGTGTGGGCGAGTCTAGGGCATTAATAAGGCTATGGTGGACACTACCTCTTCCATGTTATTGCTATGGCGGACGCCTTGGTCTCGGTGGCGCTCCTGGGCCGCCTCGCCTTCTTCCTGGCAATGCGCCGCCACTCGCCGTCTTCGTCCTGTCCAGGTAAGAAGAAGAGAGGGCGAAATCTGGATTCGCAGGGCCTGGTCGCGCAATGTAGGGTTTCTGGAGCGTCGAGTGCTCGGGATCAGGGTGATCAAGGGGGTGGCATAGCGATCAGCGATGTGGCGGCAGCAGGGTTGAGATTGAGCGCCAGGGATGGCGATGGAGGTTTTACCCAGCTTCGAGTGGAGAGGCTCATTGTTGCGGCTCACTTGGCAACTTTGCTCGTCAAGCTCAAGGCTGTGTCGTCGGGGATCAAGGCTGCAGACTTGGTCGTCAAGGCGATCAAGGCTGCTCATGGGGTGATGCTTTTGCTCAATGCCCAGCGCAGTGGTGGCAGCAGCTTGATACTCTCCCCCGATGGGATCGTCGTGGGAATTCGAGCTGCCAAGGTTGTGATCAAAGGTCTCAAGATGTCTCACAAGGCACTCAAGTCTCGGGGCTTCCACAGAGGAGTGGGCTTTGGTGGGGGGTTTAAGAAGGTGGCGAGCGGGATCAAGGCGTCTTTTGGTGCTCTCGACCTGGTGAGGGGCAGCAAAGGGATTCTCAGCGAGGTGATGGTCGCCCATGATCGAGTTGCGGCGGCAAACTGGACCGTGATTCTCAAATGCTACGAGGCATCGAGAGGCGCGCTGAGCACTGTGGAAGCGCTGGCGTCGCTCAAGGTTGGTTTCGTGGCTGCGTTTGGCAAGGGCCTGCTGGGAGTGAAAGGTGCCATCGGAGGCATGGGTGTGATGATCAAAGCTTGGGTCGTTTCCAAGGAACTCTACGTGCTGTTGATCAAGGGGGTGGGGCTCTCGCACGGGGCGAGGGAGGTGTTCAACATCATAACAGAGAAACGGCATGAGGCCCGGGCTGTCTCCAGGACGACGAAGGTGTTGACAGTCGCAGATAGTGTGCGTTTCACTAGCAGAGAAGCCGTGCCATCGATTGCTTGTGGCAGCGAGCGCACGACTTTGCGCAAGGCGGCGACTTTGGCATCGGTGACGATGGCTCCTCTCAATCCGTTTAGCTGTTACGACACCGGCAAGGCAGGGTGGTGGGCGCAGCAGACTTCTCGCTCAGAGCTTTGTCTCCTGTTCTCGGTCCAAGGCCTGGGACGGCAGTTATAAGTTCCGCGGGGATATTTTCTCACGGCATGGAGCAGCAGCAGCAGCAGCGCATGGGATGGAAGAAAAAAATACTTCCATTTATTCGCTCGAGACAACTCTGACAGCGGCGGCAGTGACGGTCCATCACGTCGTGCACAAGAAAAGGGCCTCGTTTCTCGGGATCCGATCCTCCAGGCCGCAGACCGGAGAAGTGGATCGAGAAAGATAAAAAAGAAAAGAGCACCACCACCAAAGATCTCCGAGGATAAGAAAAAGTGGTGGATGCGTGATAGAATCGAAGCAAGGCAGCAGATAGCGATGAGCAAGCAATTCACGGCCCCGTCCTAGGTACGAGATAAGCTTCACAAATCCGCTAAGCTTGTTTCTGGTTGCGTGTCTGCATCGACGGGGATAAAAGGCCATGTAAGACACGAAAGCGGGAGCGTCGCTAAGCTGGCCGACGTCGTTCTAATCTGATCACGGGGAAGATCATCGCTGGTGTTGGGCTTTGTCGTTTGCTCGCGACACACGGCCCGAGGCCAATCGCTGGAGCAAAACGGATGGGAACAGGGCGCTCCATTTTCAAGCTTGCGGTGGAGATCATGGATCTGACGACAAAGGAGGGAGGAGAAAGGTGGTAATGCAAAAGGCAGTGTGAGCGAGAGAAAGAGTCGTCCACCGCTGGCCCTCTCCTTTTCTTTTGTGTTGTTTGCGAGACTGGGCACACACACTCACTCTCCAATAATGCAATGCAGTGGATTTCTTTGTATCTTTTGGTCGCCACGACTCTGTGGCTGCCTTTCTTTTTTGTTTTGGTGGCCTGGGCTTGGCTTGGCTTGGCTTGACCCACCAAAAGACGGGCGAGGTCGCGGTTTCGAATCCCGCGCCGCGCAAAACGCTGCAACGAGCGTGTGGGCTTGGCTGACACACCTTGAAAGTCCAGCAACATGGGAGGCGAGCAACGGTCGGGATGGCCGGGCCCCAACGGCTGCGATTGACTGGCGCGGACTTTGGTTGGCCGTTTCATTCGGCTTGTATGTATGGCCAGCTTTGTTTGGTTTGGTTTTTGGTCTGTTTGTTTGGTGTGAGGAAAAGAAAAAAACTCGGGGTCTGGCGATGGTCAGGTCTGATGGACGATGAATCAATCAATGCACACCCTCGAGCTAACTATCTAGCGACGATTTTAATCGTAGAAAAGCTTTTGCTAGTGTGCATGGAAGAAGATAACGGAGAGCATTAAACTCTTTACTGTTGTTGGTCTAGTGCTATCTTCTTCTTCTAATCCCTTGGGGCCCTCGATACTCTTCTCGCATCGAGGGAGCAAAAAGAAAAAATTTGGACACTCACACAAAAACACAAGCGGTGGAGGAGGAGGAGGAAGTATTTACACTGTGATCGATCGGATCGATCGAAACGAGCGAGCGAGGGGAAGGAGATCCGCGCGGCTACTACGTCGACAAGAGAATGGGCCGGGGATTCGTGGGCCGGATGAGCCTCAAAAAGTCCTCCTTGCCCGATCCTTGGAGCCTCCGCAACGCACAGAATCGGGCACCAATGGTGGCCGCCGAGATCCCCCGGTGGATGGTCGCGTGGTGCGACAATCTCACGACCGGCAATCTGGAACAAAACCAGCGGGATGTGAGATCCGAGCACGAGGCAAACAAGGGATCGATCATCGAGGGGTTAGATTCGTACGGGATGGGGATGGTGGCGATCTCCGGCTCCTCGCTCGTCTCCTCCTGCTCCCGCCCGCTCGCAAACACCACCGTGCTCAGCCGGCTGGGACCCCTCACGCGGCAGCGGCTACACGTCTTGAGCGTGGACGAGATCTGGGCCGGCCGGGGCGCGGCGCCGCCGGAGAATTTGGATCTGGCTCCGCTGGTGCTGCTGGCGGCGGTGGCGGTGGAAGAAGCTTGAGGCGGCAGATGTGGAGGAGGAGGAGAATGGTGTTGCTGTTGCAGCTGTTGGGCGCGATGCATCCGGCATCTGAAAGATCCGGGGTGGGAGGTGGGAGCGCAGAGGCACGTCATCTTGGCGGGGGCGGAGGCGGCGGAGGCATTCTGCCCCGCCGCCGACGAAGGGCCTCTACACACCGCGCGGAACGCCGACGCTCTCATTGCCCTCAATCGCTCCGACGACATTGGGAGATCTGGCTGTGGCTGGAGCTGATGCTGGTGGAGCTGATGCTGGGCGGGATTTGAACGGCGGGGCTGCTGCTGCTTCACCGGGGCCGGGATAACGAAGCGCGAATCATGCATCGTGGAAGAAGATACGCAGCGCTGCTAGAGCGATCGTTCGTGGCGATTGGCGAGCGATCTTACCAGGTGATCGATCTGGAAGTGTATGGAAGCCTTGGACTGGAGGCAAAGACCGCGAGACTAGCTAAAAAAATGGCGGCCAAAGCGGCAAATTGTTCCGTCCAAGGGCTCGGTCGCTCTTTTATGGACGGAAAAAGGTCGCCTCCGTACGGGTGTACGGCCACCATGTCATTAGCAAGCGGGGGACAGAATGGCGCTCCACGTGGCGGTGCCACGTGACCAGATTGCGGAGGCGCGGACACGTGGGCCGGGTGTTGCATTATTTGACCGGGCAAAAGTTTGCGTGTTTTCACCACCGTTGTTTCGTTGAATCTCCATTTAAAGGGAATCGGTGGGAGAATATAATCGATGAATCTCCAATTGAAAGGAATCGGCGGGAGAATATAACCAATCAATAATGTCGATGAATCAAATCAAGCGGGGTTGCGAGCGAGAGAAGGCGTTCGCTAGATTACAAGGCTCTCATTGAATTGGCCCTCGGGTCTTGGTACAAGTGTGGGGCGAGGTGTTGAGAGCTCGTTGCGTCCATCGTCTAGTGTGCTTCAATCGTTGGAGTTTTGTTCACGACACCATTAAAAACATTTTGGTCCTGGTCCTACTTTTCCACTTGGCCGGGCCGAAATGAGCCACAACTAGGTACGTAAAGTGGGACTAAAACAGTAGAGCCAAAGCAGTGCAAGCTTGCGTGCTATTGACCGAACCCAATTGATTAACATAATCAGTCCAAAGTGTGCTGGAATGTCTGCATACATGGTTATATTAACAAGTATTAACGCATGGTATGATCGCTAGCTTTATACGTCATTGTATTTGTAGCCCCCACAATCTGGTTGGATGTTTATACGGGTGTCCTCTACATGTATATATCCAGTGGCAGTGCGTGAGTGAGATAAGCAATCGGTCGACGCCAGCAAAGGCACTAAAGAGGAGAGATTCACCAAAGGCCCACCTTGCTACACGGAAAAAGGCACACACTCATCGATTGGGAAAATTGTGGCCCCGCGCGAATCGTACGAGCCTTGGGATCGTGGGCCACAGAAAAGAGCACCGGTAACAGACTAAACGAAAGAAACAATGGCAATGTCTTATGCACTGACTGGATTTCACGGGTCAGGGCATTTGGTCTAGTGGTATGATTCTCGCTTCGGGTGCGAGAGGTCCCGAGTTCGATTCTCGGAATGCCCCAATTAGTGCTTTTACTTCTATTTCTTTGGATTTTTTCTGCCCTGGCTAGGGTTAGGGCAAGGAGAATGCAGATCTTCGTGAGGAGCGAATCATCGTCCTCGTGTGTGGAGGTGGGGCGCTCGGCCACCGCCGGCGATGTCATCCAGGCGCTGCTGCCCCGGGCATCGTCGCACGACGCTTTCTATCTCTCTCACGGAGGTAAGCTTCTCGGCCATGGCCGACCGCTCCAGGAATCCGGTGTGGGCCGCTGGAGCACGCTCCATTTGGGGGTCAGGGTCAGGGGCGGCGGTGGCGATGGCGGTGCCACGGGCGCCGAGTCGAGGGATTGCTACCTCAAGATGTACGCTGAGAAGAAGCCTGATAAGGTGGATCCAAACGAGGCCAGGCTAGCGAGATGGTGCCAGTGTGCTCTCTCCTGCGATTATCTCCGGCCGCCCTGCGTCATGGATCCTCTCGGGAATCTCTACAACAAGGAGGCTCTTGTTCACGCGCTCATCACCAAGTCCCTCCCCAAGAAATTCCGGCACATCAGGGGTCTCAAGGATCTCACGCCGGTTCACCTCTCGGCGATCCCCGGAGTGGATCCCGACGACGAACACGTCGAGACCAAGTTCCAGTGCCCGGTTTCGGGGCAGGAGTTCAATGGCAAGTTTAAGTTCGTGGCGCTCAAGAACTGCGGCCATGTCTTGAGCGTCCGAGCGCTCAAGGAGGTGCAGTCCTCGTCGTGCTTGGTCTGCTTCGCGGAGTTTAAAGCCGAGGACAAGATCCCTCTCAATGGCACCGACGAAGAAGTTGGCCTGCTCCGCGAGAGAATGGAGGCAGAGAGAGCGGCGGCCAGGCGCGTTACCAAGAAGGAGAAGAATGGCGAATCCAGGAGCAACGTTGGAGCAGTGATCGAATCGATCGAAGGTGGCAGTGGCGAAGACGAGACCAACAGTAACAAGAGGAAGGATGCTCCTCCTCTCACTCACTCCTCTACGATGAAAGCTGTGGCAAAGAAAGCCAAGCCTCTTCTTCCAATCCCGGCCAACGCCACCAAAGAGATTTACCAGTCCATCTTCACGTCGTCGGGGAGCCGCAGCAATCTCAAAGAGACTTACTCATGCCGAGCTCTCCCTCTCGCACGAAACTAAAGCTTGAATGTAAGTTACTATTCATACACACGCCTTGGCTGCCGTCGATCCATGGGGTCGATCCAACGGCGTAGCGACGCCTATCCGGGGAATTATTATCATTTGAAAAAATAACAGGGTTTTAGGGTTCTTGGTAGGAAAATGTAGGGCGATTAGCGAGAGATGGATCGTCGTCTCCGGAATTGCATCGCCGATCGGCCACTAGATCATGGTTTGGCGTCTATCGCTGCGGTTTCACCCTCGATTTCAGGTACCCTGGGACGAGATGTCATCGCTTCTTCCACAATTTTCTTTTCTTTTCATTCCCTTGTCTTTTTTTCCGGCTGCGCAGTCGCGCAGTGGCATAATGCGGGCGAGTGAAGAAGGGTCTCGTCTTAGGCAGGTACGTCGTCGTCGCTTTCGTCTATCTATGTGAGTGTGTGTATATATCTTATGTGTATGACCTTTGTTTTGTCGCCATAGCCAGGCTGCATTCATAGTGTTTCCGGATGCCTCTTTTATGTTGGTGTGTCCAGTGTACGTGTTATCGCAAGACTCTTCCATTCCCTTGACGTAAGCATTTTTTTTTTCTCTTTTTCTGCTCATCTCTGATATTTCAACGCTACTGTTTGATGTCGAGGGCAAGCTGGAGCTCACTGATTTGTGCGGTTTACTATTGCACGCAATTGGCTCGAGCTCGCTGATTTGCGCATTTCACCGATGCATGCAATTGGCTGTCTCTTTATGTTTCTCTCTCTTTTCGACCATATTTTTTTGTTTGTTGCATTAAGTTGCTGTGGTTGATTGAGCCGTTGTTGCCCGCCATCTTCAAAGTTTCTGCAATACGCACCAGCGCTGCTTTAAATCCTCTTTGAATCGACGCGAATTTCTGGCGTTGGATATTCCGGCGTGAATTCAAGGGGTACCTGCTTGCATTCAGTCCACCATTGTTCAAATTGAAGCGTTTGCAGTTTTCTAGTCAGGACTGAAAACGAGCTTTTCTAGTCGCTTTTGTTGCATGATGCGTATTTCTCTGGTGTCTTTCAGGATCTCTGTCAAGGTGGAGAACAGAAGTATCTCAACCTAAGTGTACGTAAGTTTCAAACTCCGCAGAGAATTTAAGCAGTATAACTTCTCTCTGTCACTCTGCGTAGACAACATCACAGTGGAGTCAGTTCGGCTGTATTCGCACGCAGTCACCTATTTCCATCACTTTAAAGCGCTCATTCAAGTCCGGCTTATCTTATATCCAGTCCACGGGGTGTTAAGCTTGACAATGAGGTATGGATACGGCTTCTGTTGTTTCCTTTTCTTCTCTTTTCCTTGCTTCTCAGGTTGGCCTGTATTTCTGTTTCCTGGTGCCAGGCGTATCTGCAAGCGAAATTGATGCCGCATGAACACTTAAGGTGTGCCTTTCCGAAACTACAGTAGCAATTTGTCTCGTGATTTTGAGACTGCTTCTCCCGATTTTATCTTGTCCCAGTCGGTTCATTTTCACCTCCTTTTCTGGGCTACTTGAATCGATTTCCCGCACTATGTCATTTTAGTACTAGATTTCAGAGGCTTCACTTTTGTTTTAGAATGAACGAAGAAAAGGGGTGGGCCTCTTTTAAGTCCACCGTTCAGGGGCCACGCTGGTGTTTATGGCTTGCAATGTCTTCGTCTTTGCATGTGGCTATCTTTTTCGAGTTGAATACTGTGATGTTGCTGAGACATGAATGCTTTGGTTGTCCTTGGCAATAGCAAACCCTTAAGACAACGGGATTTACTTACTTTTGCTGGTTCTTTTGCTTGCTTTAGGATTGGGGAACCGTAACAATGTGGAGGAGGGTGCAACTTGAATGCCAATATGATGGATTAAGGGACGGTCCGTGTCTAAGATAATGGAGGCATTCCGATATGGGACATCTTAAGGTGGGCTTTCATTTCGGAATTTCATAAATAGAAAGGTAGCCGGACCATGAAACCACACGTGGGCTCTCAAAAGCTTGCAACAAAGGTATGCCTTTGCGACACTAACTTCTCTTTTGTTTTCATTTCCTTTACAACTTTTAGGGGCAGCAGTAGCAGCAGCAGCAGCAGCAGAGCTTATACTTCGAAAAGAGGTCTTCATGCCTGCTACGGTCAGATATGACGCCAAGAGGAAGGACGCTGGTGTGATCCATCCATCCATCGAAACTACAGGTTGGTTTTCCTCTTCCTCGAGGCTCGACGTTGAGTTGAGTTGGGTTTGGTGATTGACATGGTGGTGGGATGCGATGCGTCTGTTCTTGCATTGCATTTGCATTGTCATAAAGTGGAGCACAAGTCTTTGCCTACACATTTAGGCCTGGATAACTGGGTTCGTAGCTTCTGTCCGTGTTATTACCATCTTATCTTTCTTCTGCATTGGCTGGCTCAAATGGCGAGTGAGGAAGACTGGTTTGAAAGTGTACTTCATCTTTGCAGTACTACTGCTTTGCATGTAATAGGCTGCTGGGAAAATGATTTATCGGGAGATCACAGGCATTATTTTGCATTGAGTGGTGTCAAAGGACATGCAGTGCGCTAAACATGTCACATGTTTTAACTGCCTGAGTTTGCCTGAGCGGAGATTATCTTATCTTTCTCGGTCTTGCTTTGATTTCGTGAATATCTTTTTTGCTTTTCCTTTTGCGGGTTGCTATCGCGCATTCAACCGCATCAATGCCCAAGCTTAGTGTATCTTTTTATGACTTTTATTTTCTTATAACTTCTTATTCTTTCTCGCGTATTGCAGTCGAAGAAAAAAATGCTCAAGTTACTAGACGATGAGCTTGAGCTGACGCACAAGGTGTTGCAATTGCATAAATGCGCGAAGAATCACACGTAGACAACTAAACATTCACCTACCGCTTCCTCTCCCGCTCCCAACAAAAGATTCGACACGGCCAGTACAACAACAGAGCCTGAAAGGTTCAAATTCAAAGGTTCGTAGAAAGAGTAAGATAACATTTCTTTCTTTTTTTCTATGCATGGCATGGCATCGCATCGCATCGCTTGCCGCATTGTTTTCTGGGTGGTATATATTTTTGTGGACAAAGAGGAGAGATTGATCTCTTCCAATTGCCATTGCCATTGTCAGCCACCGGTCCTTTGTGTTAGGTGACTCGAATTTACTCCCTGTGCATTTATCTTGCGATTTTTTCAAATCCCTCACACATTTAGGTGGTCGGAGTTCTGATTGCAACGTAGAAAGAAGGTAAGACAATGCTGCTCAAAGTCTGAGGGAAATATCCGGCACTGACTTGGTTTTCAGTTGTTGCAGTCGAGTGAGAGACCCGACCCGACCCGGCTCGGGCGGGATTTGGAGGAGCATTATTGAAGCCATTAGCGGGCGGATTACCGGACATGATGACTAAACTAACGGCGACGAGAGGTGTGCATTTAGTGGCGCCTGGAAATTTGGAGAGAGGCCATTCAAGGCAAGCACTAAAGGGTCATCAAACCCAATAGCCAGGGGCAGCTGGCAATCATACTTGTGCCATCAACTGTGTGCAGCCTCCTCCAGATAAGTATCCTCTGTTGATTTCAATTCCACCCATGCATGCTCAGCTAATACCTTCGCTGGTAATTTAGACAACAGGCCGGTTCTTAGCGTGAAAGATGGGATCTTTGCCATGCAACACCAAGGGGCATGTGTGTTCAGTCTAGTCGGCTCGGAACACTGGAGGGAATCTAATATATCATCGCTGGTAGCGGTGGTAAGGTAAGGATTCAAGGAAGGTGGGCAGTAGTATATGTGCCCGTAGAGGCTAGAGAATCACAGGGGTAGTAGGATAGTTTTAAGTTTTTCCTCAGGTGAGTTTCGGACGGAGCAGTAGTATTGATATAGATAGATATGCGATCATTTCATATCATATCATAGAATTAGTATAAAAGGAAAGTCAGGCTAGAGACTAGTATAGTACCTTAAAGGTGATGACGGTAATCGTATTTGGCCGGGCACAGTCTATATAATAGCTCTAACAGGGGGAGGGGGGGACAGGGAGAGAGAAGGGCTTGCGATAGATAGATAGCTCGGTCCAGCCGACTGGCCGGTTACTCAACTCAGTTCTATCTCATACTCAGCTGAGCAGCAAGTCGAAGAAGCACAGTCAAGTTGAGCGAGCGGAGTTGAGTGAGGAGAGATTGGATCGAAGAAGAAGACGAGACGAGACGAATGTTTGAAAGAGGGAGGAGGTGCATCCCATCAAGCCAGTAAATGTGGAAGTTAAGAGCCTGGGGCCCCTGTGCGTAGCGTGAAGGAGATGGCAGCATTCAATGCCAATGGAAGCCTCCTCTTCTTCTACTACCACTTCCATTGACAGACAGACCTCTTCATCCATCATCCGCCGCTGCTGCGCCGCTAGTATTGCTTTGCTTCTTCTCCGGGGTAAAGCCGCTTCTTCTTCCATTCTTTCCTTGCGCTGCTAAAGTTTGCTCGGTAAATTCCCACTCTTTTTGCAGCAGCCGCCGTCGCCGCCGCCGCTGCTGCTGCTGCTGCTGCTGCTATATTGCTATAGAGTCAGGGGGGAAGGAGCTCGTGAAATTGCATTGAGAGGTGATGGCTGTGGCACTGGAAGTCGGGTGGGGCAGTGGTGAGCTCGGTGGTATTGCTCGCATGAGCAAGAAACGAGCTTGGGGCGATGATCATCAGAAGCTGCTGGAGATGATGCTGGGGAAGCCCTTTGATGAATCCGGCGTTGGAAGGCACCACACTTTGGACCTGCTAGGTGGACGAGCGGCTTCGAATACTACCATGACAACGGATGGTGAAGAACAACAATCGGATTTTTTGGAGCTCGGCCAGGATGTTCCGCTTCCGAAAGGATGGGAGAAAAGACTCGACTTGAAGGTATGTCCGGTTTCTTTCTGGGTGGATCGTAGCAAAAAGAGTTGATGTTTTCTTTCACGCTTTTTTCACGTTGTTGTTTAGCCTTCTCGTTGTTTTGTTTTTTGCTTTCTTCGTTTTTTTGTTTGCCATTTTGGCCAAGATTCGTTCTTGGTAATTGAGTGTGCCTTGATTGTTTTTTGTCTGTATTTTTGAAATGGTGCAACAGGCCGAGCCGATTGATTAAACCGATAATTTTTTGTGCAGTCTGGAACGGTCTTTTTCATCAATTGGAACACTGGCAAGACCACCTGCAATGATCCTCGCGAAGGCCACTCTTGCTCACCCGCAGAGCCACCGTTTGGATCGCCTCCAGCAGCCTCCTGTCACATGTCCCTGGAGCTACTGCAATCCGAACTTGGAAAGCAGGCGGCGGCGGTCAAGAGAAAGAATGGTGGCGAAGCCACACAGCTGTGGAGGAGGAAAAAGCAAGGCGACGACGGCGACGACGCTGCTGCTAATGCGGATCATCCAAACCCGATTTACAAGGAGGACAGGGAGAACGAGAGCGAGAGTGGTGGTCTCGACCTCAAGCTCAATCTGTCGAGCAACCAGGAGGAGGATGCCAGCAGCGTCGTCACCACCACCTCTTCCGAGTGCCTCTGCCTGCTCCCGCCCGCCGCATCGTCTCCCCGGTCGTCTCCATCGCCTCCGCCAAGCCAACCGGCCAAGGTCACCCTCACTGGTTGCAAGCGGTGCCTCATGTACGTGATGATCTCGCAGTTGGATCCCAGGTGTCCCAAGTGTGGGAGCTCCGTGATCATGGACTTCCCGGTGCCAAAGAAGCAGCGAAAGTTTGATCTGGAGCTATGAGCAGAGGAGCACAGCTTTGTTAGGAGGAGACGTGACCAACCAAAAGGATTCTCGAGAGACAGGCACACTTTTTAAGCAATCAAGAGCAAGAGACGATGATGTAATTATTTGAGTCGGAGTCGGAGAGAAAAGTAAGACTTTTATATATTAAATCTACTCCTCTCTTTTTCTTCCAAAGTTTGTGACTTAGAAACAAATCACAACTACCTGTCAAACAAAACTAAACTTGCATTACTGGGAACTAATCTTCTTCCAGGTCGGTCAATCGCGAGAAATAAAGCCCTGGGGGGACGAAGAAACAAAGCAAAAGCCAATCTTCGATTTCAATATCTAAGCACTTGGTTGGTTGGCAAGGTTTCTGGAAAAAAAAGAGAGGAGAATTATTTCCCTGGAACTTTTTTTGTTCTTTCCTATTTCCTGGGGAGAAAAGAGAAAGAGAGAGTAGAACGAACGATGACGAATGTGGAGGAGGAGGAAGACTTGCTCAAACCTTTCAGGATTGTTTGGTAAAAAATCTCACGGCAACCGCCAGCCCGAGGATGGCCAGGGGTACCAAGAACTGCAAGATCTTGATGAGGAACTGCGAGGTCTTGTCGGGATTATACGCGTCCTGGGTCGCCAGCTTGAATGTGGGCTTGGCCGGCAGAGTTGCCGAATCCACCTCGCCAATGTAATAGCTGTGCATCATGTCGCGAGCGCTGCTGCTGTGCCCGACGTCCTCGAAATCGTCCGTGGCATCCTTCCCTGGAGGAGAAAAAGTGTGATCTCGCGCTCCTTGGCACCGGAAGTTGTCACTTACCTGTGGCGGAGAGGATGACTTCATCGCCGCCGGGATGGTCCTCTAGGAACTTGGTCACGTCGTAAATCTGCCCACGAGAGAGAGAGAGTTGAGAAAAATTTGGCATTCCACAGATCGAGGGAGCCCTATTGGATCCGGCAGATCAGGGCACAAGATACCTTTCCGGAGATGAGAAGCCAGCAATCCTTGCGATTGTTGTGCTCGGCGAGCTCGGAGTAGGCCATAATCTTCGACATCTTCGCCAGATTCCTCTCACCCACGCCGCGCCCAGCGCTTAGGTCTCTCTCTCTCTCTCTCTACACCTCTCCACAACACACACACACACACACACAAAATAAAAACCTTTGGCTTTTGTTTTCTTCTCTTTGTACGAGAAGAGCGAAGCACGCAAAAACCTCCGTTGACTAGTAGGCGTGTGCAGAAGGAGCGAATATTCAAGGACTTTTCCGGTGTGAGTGTGCTTGACACAAACTTTTCTCCAGTCTTTCGCTAACAATTTGTCAAACCGAATCGATCATCGATCACTGCGGTCAAGAGCTGCTGCCACTCTGCGCGATGATCTGTGACGCGCACGCGTAGAAGAATGTGTTTGAGTTTGATACGTACGCGCATGCAGGGAGAAAAAAAGAAGTGCGTGTGTGTCAGTTCTTACCAGTGACCCCAGCTGCTCGTACTTGTCCATGACTTCCGGATCTTCTTCGTTCTCGTAGCCGGACTTGAGAACGTCGGCTCCACCGAGCTCCCAAAACGCTCTAAATCCAGCCTCCTGGTACACGACCACAAAATCAGCCCTGGGGATCGGATCTAGAAAGTCTAGCGCTTCACTTCACCTGCTTTATGAGCAGGTAGAGAGCATCCAAGGCTTCGCGACGGATCTGGGAGTCTGGTTCCGCCTGGCGTTCTATGGACAATGGAACCGCCAGCTCCGGGGGCATCTTGGATCGCTCCTCTTCGCTATAGATCTGCGGCATCACGTCGACGAGAGAGGGCTTAGCTGAATTCCCGCAATGGTGCAACAATTGAGTAAGACCTTGCTTCCTGCGGCTGGAAGGATGAGACATGGCCACAGAAGCTCGGACAGGGAAAGCAAGCTCGGCAGATGGGACGGAGCTTCAAAACAACAGTTGCGGATGGTGCCAATCACCTGCGCACGAAGAACAAAGATGAGAAAGTCGCAAAACTTATCTAACGAAACAGATTTTTTCATCAACTTACTCCTCGCCTGCGAACAAGACTCTTGGAGTCGCATTGGCGTAAAACCTGTTTCAAGAGGCCTCGCTTGGTGTCCAGCATGAGCTTGCGTCCCAAGTCCGTTCGCGATACGTTGACAAGAATTGCTCCAACGTGCTCGTACGCATCGTCACCTACGCAACACACACAGGTAGTGTACAAGAACAGCTTTCTTATCATACCTTCTTCTGGGGTCCGCGAGAACAATCTCACGAGACGACTCATATGTAGTCCTTTGAGCTTCTCATCGCCCTCCTAGCAAGAAAATTGTAAGAGAGATTTGGAGATGGCGAAGGAGAGCAAGCATCACACCTCGCATAGCAGCCGAGCACCAGGCTCTAGAGTCGTCAAGTTCACGAGGAGCATCACCATGAGCTTATCCACGTCCTGGCCTTGCTTGCCTATCTGATCCATGGCGCTTGCAACAGCTCCCAGTTCAAGCAGCATCTCTCCCACTTCCTGATCCTGTGACAGATTGACCAGAGCTCCTGCCGCTGGCTTCGCAACGAGCTGGACGTAAGATCATTCACAGGCTTTTAGGCACTAGACATGGATCCGCTTCTTGCCTTGTTACCAGCAAGGAGCTGTACGAGAGCCGGGAGGAGAATCGAGAGCTTGGTGCTGAGCTTGGCAATCCCCTCGTCGCTTCCAGTCAAGCCTTCGATGATGTCTACCGCGGCCTTTCTAAGCTGCGAAAGGAGCTCTTGTCAGGCGCAATGAAATGGAAACAAACTCTTACGTTTGGCGCTGGCGAAGAAAGGAACATCAAGAGCTCATCCAGCTCCTCCGCCATCGCTCAAAGCTTCCTCCAAGAACCCTAAAACTCCCAAGTCTATGTTGGACCACACGGATCGCGATCGCTACGCGGCGCTGCTCAAGCAGGCATCCAGATCCAAGAATGTGGCACAGGGCCAGGCACTGCACGCTCAGATCCTTGCCTCCGATCACCGCCACAATGTCTTCCTGTGCAATCTCGTCATGGAGATGCATCGCAACTGCGGCCATCTCGACCGCGCGCTCCTCGTCTTCTCCCACATCCCTCACCCCAATCTCTTCTCCTGGAACATCGTGCTCTCCACCCACGCCCGCCGCGGCAGCGCCAGTGACGCCAAGATCGCGCTGGATCGCATGCCTATCACCAATGTCGTGTCTTGGACCTCCGTGCTCGCCGCCTACGCGCACACCGGCCAGATCCTCCACGCCAAATCCTTCTTCGATCACTGCATGCCGGAGAGGAACGAGATGGCCTGGAATATCTTGATCCCCGCGTGCTCGCGATCGGGGAAGCTCCAAGAAGCCAGAGATCTCTTCGATGGAATGCCGGACAAAGATCTGGTGTCCTGGAATTCCATGCTCACGGCACACGCCCGGCTTGGAAATCTTGGCGATGCCGAGCAGATCTTCACCGCCATGCCCCAGCGCAACCTCGTTTCCTACAACGCGCTCCTGGCTGCTTACTCCCACCACGGCCGCGTCGACCAGGCACAGGAAATCTTCGATCGGATGCCGGAAAGAGACGACCTATCGGCGAATTCCATCCTCGCCGGCCTCGCGCAACACGGCGCGAGCATCGATCGCGCGAGGGAGCTCTTCGATCGCGTGGCGAATCGAGAAAACCTAATCTCCTGGAACCTCATCCTCTCCCACGATGGCAATGTCCGCGAATGGCTTGCCCTGTTTCACCAGATGCCCGAGAGAGACGTTATCTCATGGAATATTCTTCTCGCGGCATATGCCCGAACTGGGCATTTACTGAAAGCCCTGTTTGACGAGATGCCGCGATGCGGTCACCGTGGTCACGTGGACGACCGTACGGTCAGCACGGTCAGCTCCATCTTGCCCGTCAGCTGTTCGACTGCCGTGCCCGATCGAACGGAGGACGCGGTAACGTTTCGCGTTGACAGTCTCTCAAAATTTACAGGCTCCAAAATTCTTCTCGGACGCGCTGATTAATTCGCACCTGACCACTGCAATTCCAGCACTTGAGGCTCGTCCTTCGTCCCATCGATCATTCGGACGTCAATCAGGAACGGCATTGCTAGCCCTGGTAGACGGCTTCACGAAATGCTTCTTTCCTGAACCGTTTGGCGAACTTGGCATTGCCAGTGAGGAACACGGGCCTCTCGTCAGGAGCAGTAGCCGATGCAGCAATGAAGTTCGTCACCACCATCGTTAAAACCTGAAAGCTCGATCCCGTACTTGTTTCGGTAGGGAGACCACCCGGATGCTGCTCCAGTCCTAACAGCACTCAAGGGTGCAAAGAAGCAGACTTTGCCGAGGCTTTTCTTCCATGCACGCAGCGGACCTCGCTGGAGCGCATCAAACGCGCTGCTGTCACAGTAGTAGTAGTGAACTTCCAGCGGCTTCCTGCTGCTCAAGCTGATCCACAAGCTTTTGTGCCATGCAAGTAGCTCCACCAGCAAATTGGATTTCGGCTTCCACACCTTGGAAGGTCCAGGAGATGCCACACTGGGAGCAGAAGCGGAAGTTCCCTTGCCGCCATGCTGATTGCTGCCTCCGAGCGGCCGCGGGCTGCCACCAGAGGTTCTACCACTTCCAGGCCCGGTACCGGCGGTGCCAGTGGTTTTCTGCGATCGTCGTCTTGGAACGAAAGCCTCAGCGCCTAGTGACTGGAAGGAGACCACCGGACACAGGTTACCGGCCAATTGGTCGGCTAGGACCTCGACCAACCCAGGACCCCCAACAGTGAAGCTTGTCGCGAATTTCTTGTCGTTGGTCAGAAGGAAGAGTGTCCGAGGCCCATGATATTCAGCCCGACTGCTGATCATGCAAGATTCAAGTGCGATCCTCAAGTCGGTCACCTGCATTCAATCAAAACAAAGTCAGTTCTGCAAAGATCCTGCATTACTCACCTGCATTCCACCAAAGTTATAGTGGACTTGCTGCCGCACCAGCGGGAGAATTCGATCAGCGTCTGCTACCTCCTGTGCGCTGTTACAGTATCGTGTGAACGTCAAACCTCTCGAGGTGCCGGTGAAAGTGGGGCGCAGGCGCCGCAGCTCCTCTAAAAAGCTAGAAACTTAGTATCAAAGCATAGAAACTAAGCTCTAACCCGAGACGCCATTGGTGAGCAAGAGCTTGCTTCCAGCGGCCACCGATGCACGGAGGTAAGATTCCAGCTGAGGACTCGCATCGCCGTCTACGAAGTAGATCACGAGATTCGTGTCAACACAGATGTCCCTACTCGCAACAATCGGCGGTGGCTCCATCGACAACATAATCTCCCCTGAGCCCTAATAAACCGTAGGTTTTCAATGTTGCAATGGCACAAAGCTCACTGGATGGGTATCATCAATCGTCCGAGCTCTGAAATAAGGTACATCCACAGCTACGTTTTTAGATTCACTCGTCTGTGCTCTTCCCCTAGGACCTACATCTGCGACAGCCTTGCCGCTCAAACCCTAGAAACCGAGCCAATGCTGGTAGCTTGGAAGCAGCGGATGATAGTTGGTGGCGCGCAATTCTTTGCTCCAAACAGTATGCAACGCGACGATGATGAAGGTTGGTGCTGGTACGAGGAGGATCCCGAGGTTTGTACACCTTTTATTTGGGACGTTTTTCTGGACTGGAGGAGCATGCAACTCTGGTTTGATACCTTAGGCCAGGAAGCGAAAGAGTCATTCCAGCAGTGGATCAGCGGGTGCTGGGATAGAGAAGACTTTGTTTTCCTCACGGGAAACCATGAGTTTTGCAGTAAGGTTATGCTCAAGGAGGTGCCGAGGGAGGAGATTTATTTCTTTATTAATGGGCTGGCCATGGAATTTGGTGTGGATTGTAGATATGTTGGCAAAGACCAGGATGAACCCACGGTCTTACAGCTTGAATGGTCCATTTAGAAGGACTTCGTCAGTCTCTTTTTCTAATAAGACTAATAAGAATGCTAAGAACTCTCAATTGGTTTGCAAAGAAGAATGTGAGGACCTAGGGCTTACCTTTAACGTTAAGGGCGAAATTTTAGGAAATTTGATATATTTTCCATTACAGTTACCATTACCCTTATAATTTACAACTTCTAGGTTGTAAGTATTTCCACTTCTGTGATTTCTAAACCGTGTGGGGAATGATTGAATCTGGTATGGCAGAGTGCAATGGATTGCAAAGATCCTCCATTGTCATAATAATAATAATAATAATAACAGCTATTTCAAGTCATGAGGATCCAAGGGCATGAGACCATCCTATCTACTGTGGATGTGTAAATTCAAGGATGGCAAGTAGCTCATTGTGCAAATTTGTGGTTGCAATAAGGTACTCACAAAGTCATTAGTATTGCCATTGCTAGAGGAAGAGAGGGAGGGGCAAATCAAAATTAAGGAGCAGTTCTTTGTCCCATTGTTGTTTGTATGCAGTGGTGAAGTGTAGGACAGTTTGACTATCTTCAATGTATAAATAACAGATTTGGTCCTCCTAACTTCTGAGTGCAGGCAATGTTATCCCACTCAATAGTGTGCCAGGATTCTGTTGTCCCATAGATCAGTAAATAGCAATACCAATAAGCCTTTGCAGGTTGATAACTAATAAATAGTGCTGGAATTTTGGATCGTGTTGAGCCCCTTGAAGCCACCATTGGAAAGCTCACTCAAGCCAATGGTTTGGGACATCTATGGTATTTTCTTTAAGGAGGGTCTCAAGATCCTTGCCCAAATCTTTTGTCTAGGATTGTGCCACCAGCCTTTGCTGATATCTCTAGCAAGGTTGATAAAATCTGAGAAAACATACTTAACCATTTTATTTTGAGCAGTGCATATGAGGTTGGGTGGGGAATGTGTTGGTTGTCATTGTCCTACAGCAGTTGAAGGGCTCAGATTTAGCTTTTGCCTTCTTCAAGTTCACTTGCCAGCAGTACAACTTAGGATGTATTGCATTGTGTTTTTCACACTTCGGAGTTCAATCAGAAGCAAGCTAGATTCCATAATTAAAATCCCAATTGCCACTTTGTTGCATCCAAATTCTGTATTCAAGAACTAATAGTTAAGTTGTTCCATTTTCCTCCATGTCATTTGTCGTAGTCTACAACCCTAAACCTCCTTAGCATATGTGAGGATAGTGATCACCTTTAGTAATATTGTCTATGTGCATCCCATTGAAAAATACCAGCTTGCTTGAGATCACTCTAGAGTGAGTAATATGCTCTTGTGCTTGCTTGGATGCATTCTGTTGTCCTAGCCTTCCAAGGATTCTTGTGGTGGACTATATATACAAGGTACTTGTAGTTTTCTCTTATCACCAGCAACCAATGTTGGCAATGGAGGTCATTTTTGTCACTTCTTTATCATAGATGGCCAAATACCATAACCTATATTTTCATAAGATTCATAGATAAACTACTGGTTGCGAGCAAGTCTAGCTAGTGTTGGAGGCTTTAACAAGACATGAGCAAATCATTTGCATATAGGAGGTATAAGTAGAGACTACCCATGAGAATGTTGGAAAGATTTTCATTGCAAAAGAGTGTTTCCAATACATCAATGTGCAATCCAAACAATGTGGGGGATAAAGGATAACCTTGCTTGACACTTATTGTGCATTCTGTTTGTTGATTTTCTGAGTATTCTACAAGAATTATTATATAGATCTATTGAATGATTAAAAAGAGTGATTTGAAAGATAATCTATATAAGGGTTCAAATATAAAAGGGATGGCTCATAAATAAGAATACACCCCCTTTTTCAATTGTTAAAATATTTGGGGTTAAACATGAATGATATTGGGCTAGGTGACCTCTTGAGAAATTTAAATTTAAGAGTTTATATTTGATATTAGAAAAGTCTTGAATTTAGACTCTATTAGTTGACTAGGGGAATCATATCACATGTTGAGATTGATATATTCTATTGATTGACTAAGGGAATTACATTATATGTTGAGATTAATATTTAGTGGAACCCGAGAGCTTTGGTCCATGAATAAGAGTGTACCTTCCAGGATGTCAAAAAAGTGAGGCTTTCAAGAGAGTTACAACTTATAAATAAAAGTGTACTTCCCTAGAAGTCAAAATTCAAGAGTTTATAAATATTTTATACCAACTTTAGTGGAGTATTTAACTTTTGAAGTCACTAAAAAAGTTCCTTTTGTGGGATTGTGTCAAATGCTTTACAAAAGTCCACAAAGAAACAAAACAATTGTTGCTTATCATATATCATTCATTCATACATAATTTATAGTTGACTAACTTGAGGTATAGTATAGATTACCTACTATATCCTACTAAAAAACTTGTGTGCATATCCTTGTTCTGTGTCTAGATTAGGTTTAAGCCCAAGATCAATACCATATTAGTTGGTGAAGTATCTATATCCTCGCATTAAACCATCGGTATGCTATAATAATGTTACATTCCATTTGGCTCCATTTTATTTATTAATCATAACATTAAGATGCTAGATACTCTAGGATTGTTCCAATATTGCTTTTTACTTATATCCTTTCATTTCTTGTGTTATATGCTTAGGAGTTGTCCTGTGCTCCAATTTCTTTGTTCTTTAGCTTTATGCTCGAGAGTTTAGCTTTATCCCTTTGTTCAGTGGCTTAAAGCTTTGAAACTTAGGTTCCACTTCACTACCCTTAGCCCACATGTCTAAGGGTTATGGTTTTGCTCTATAATTTTCCTATGATAAATCATCATAGGTATATAGTGAAAATAGCATATACTACACATTTTTATTGTCTTTACAATCAAAAAGCCTTAGATGCTAAATAACTATAAGATAAAATCATTGGTAAATTTATTAGTAATAGGTGGTAGAATTATAGAACTTTAATGTTTTCTCCACACCACCTACTAAGCAAGCTTTATTCCTCTTTCACATCATTAATATAGCTACCTAATACACTTTTCCACAATATAAAATAAATCATGTTAATGGGCTCCCAAAAGATGTTTAATGGAATGACAAATGTCATCAACTTTATTAAATTAAAGAACAAAAAGTTAAAAAATGTGTTCTTGATGCCATAATCTTTTAACAACATTTTTGACAATTATATAATTAGAAATAACATTGACACTATATCTAGAAGAACTTAAAGAATGTACGGGAACTTCAAACAACATTTAATAAGATTTCAAGATTTTCAAAAAGCTTGTAAAGTTTATTCTTTTGAATAGCATTGAGATTTAGGTGAATTACCTTGGATTACTTTACACCTAACATGAAGGAGACTCTACCCCTTCCCAATTATAGGCTTTAATACATTCTCACTATGATTAATTGCCTTCACAAATAAGAAGCCCTAAATACCCAAGGTCTCACAACTAAATTGCTCCAAGTATATAAAGAGTCCCTTACACATATACTCCACAATAAATGAAGATTTCTCTCAAGAATAACAAATGAATTATATGGTTCCCATCTACAAATTTATAAATTCTATGATCTTAGAAAATTACTAAACCATTATAGTAAGCTTTATATTCTCTAGATTATTTATAACTATTATAGAGCCATACCTTATCTTTTTGAGTGAGATTAACACTAAATGAACCATTGGCCAAACAGGCTTTTAATCTAAAGATAGTTGTGCAGATTATCTTTAAAGTATTTGATACAGTTTTATAAAAGGAACATTTTTAGGAACTTTGGAAGCTAAATACTCCATAAAGCTAATACAAGCCATTTAGTAAATTTGTATAACAATTCTTGTAAAATACCTAAGAGATCAACAAGTGAAATGCACAATAGATTTCTATCCTTTATCCCTTACATTTTTTGAACTTCACATTAATGCATTAGAAATACTCCATTATAAAAATCTTTTTAACATTTTTATGGTTAGCCTTTACTTATACCTTCTGTATATAGAAGATTTGATTTTGTTCCCCACAACTTGTTAAGGCCTCTAGTGCCAACTAAACTTGTTGACAACCTTATATTGCATTGCTAGTTTATTTATAAGTTTTATGAAAACATAGATGGAATATGTGTAAAAAACTCCTTGTCACATTCTTGAAGCAATTATGGGGATTTTTGTTTATGAAGACAATCAATCAAGCACGAACACATGATGTTGTTTTTGGGCTATTCACTTCCCAAATGACTCCACCGCAAAATTTGAAGCCACCTGTGAAACCATGAACATGAATGCTTAGCACTACTTTTGGGCCGTCAGCCTCCTAGGTGACTCCACCGCAAAACTTGAAGCTACCTACTCTGCTCTATGAGGCTGATTCATAACAAGTAATATAATCATTAAATCCCCAAAAGGAACTATGACACCATATTTGAGGATACATTATCGAAGGGGGGCATATAAATTAATTTTTATGAGTATCCGTATAAGGGGAAATAATATTTTAACAATGCATTATTTATCAAATGTTGTAGCCAAAGGTGGATCTAGAGAAGTAGACTACAAGATAGAAGTGGGAGAGGGAGACATTTTAGACAATGTTAGGTGTGAATGAGAAACCCTTACAAAAATAGAAATAATTTGTGAATTTAAGAGTAATTGCCAGTCCAAAAAGCAATAATCTAAGGGGAGTTTTACTCCCACCATCAAATTAATAAATATAATGGTAATTTGTTCACACTACCACACTATTATATTAGATTTTTTTGAATTTTAACTTTTTTTCACCAGAAATTAACATTAAAGTAAGCTAATGCTACAATGAGGATCTTGAAAAATGAAAAAGAAATATTAATGCTTATTAAAATATCTATAAATATTCTATAAAGCTTTCACTTGTGTGTGTGGCACACGGTGTTGTTAGCTACAAGCAGAAGCAATGCCCATAGAGTAACAAAACATGTTGTTAGCATACATACCATAATTAACCATGCTTGTTGGAGGTGCTATGGATCAATTCTTACAGTGTTGGTGCTGGCTTAAGTGCTAGTGCAACTCTTTAAATGTGTTTTTGTTAGCTTGAGAAGTTATGGAAAAGAATGAATTGAGTTGGTTTGTGCCATTGCTAGTGATGCTAATAAAAAATCTACTATAGATGAAAATAGAGGTAAGAAAAGTTGTGGCAAAGATGAACATGATGAATAGTTGCAAAGAGAGTGTTTTCCGCCAAGAATTTGAGCACTGAAATTCTAGAACAAAGCATAATTAAATTAGCTAACATTCTAATTTAAAACTTCCATGTTAATGTTTTAGGTCTTTTAAAAAGTGCCAATTTGATGCACGACACAGATCACTACGCGGCGCTGCTCAAGCAGGCATCCAGATCCAAGAATGTGGCACAGGGCCAGGCGCTGCACGCTCAGATCCTCGCCTCCAATCACCGCCACAATGTCTTCCTGTGCAATCTCGTCATGGAGATGTATCGCAACTGCGGCCATCTCGACCGCGCGCTCCTCGTCTTCTCCCAGATCCCTCACCCCAATCTCTTCTCCTGGAACATCGCGCTCTCCACCCACGCCCGCCGCGGCAGCGCCAGTGACGCCAAGATCGCGCTGGATCGCATGCCTCTCACCAATGTCGTGTCTTGGACCTCCGTTCTCGCCGCCTACGCGCACACCGGCCAGATCCTCCACGCCAAATCCTTCTTCGATCACTGCATGCCGGAGAGGAACGAGATGGCCTGGAATATCTTGATCGCCGCGTGCTCGCGATCGGGGAAGCTCCAAGAAGCCAGAGATCTCTTCGATGGAATGCCGGACAAAGATCTGGTGTCCTGGAATTCCATGCTCACGGCACACGCCCGGCTTGGAAATCTTGGCGATGCCGAGCAGATCTTCACCGCCATGCCCCAGCGCAACCTCGTTTCCTACAACGCGCTCCTGGCTGCTTACTCCCACCACGGCCGCGTCTACCAGGCACAGGAAATCTTCGATCGGATGCCAGAAAGAGACGACCTATCGACGAATTCCATCCTCGCCGGCCTCGCGCAACACGGCGAGAGCATCGATCGCGCAAGGGAGCTCTTCGATCGCGTGGCGAATCGAGAAAACCTAATCTCCTGGAACCTCATCCTCTCCGCCTATTGCCACGATGGCAATGTCCGCGAATGCCTTGCCCTGTTCCACCAGATGCCCGAGAGAGACGTTATATCATGGAATATTCTTCTCTCGGCAAATGCCCGCGCTGGGCATTTACTGGAAGCCCAAGCCCTGTTTGACGAGATGCCTGGCCGCGATGTGGTCACGTGGACGACCATGATCGCGATGTACGGTCAGCAGGGTCAGCTCCATCTCGCCCGTCGGCTGTTTGACGCCGTACCCGATCGGACGGAGGCTACATGGAACGCGATCATCTCTGCGTACGGTCAGTATGGGCAGCTTGATTCCTCGAGGCGCCTCTTTGATTCCATCGGCCCCAGCCCGGGGATTGGATCCTGCAATGCGATGATCATCGCCTACAATCAAAATGGCTGTGTGCGCGAGGCGAAAGAGTTGTTTGATTCTATGCTGGAGAGAGATACGGTGTCTTGGGCTTCGATCGTTTCGGGCTACACGCAGAGCAACGATCTCGTAAAGGCCAGAAACGTTTTTGATCAGATTCCAGCCCCGCGGAAGAACATCGTCTCCTGGAATGCGATGCTTGCGGGATATGCCCAGGGAGGGGATGTTCATCGAGCTCGGCAATTCTTCGACCAGATCCCAAATCCAGATTCTGCCTCCTGGAACACCATGATCACTGCTTACTGCTCACAACATCAACTTTCCCATGCCAAGATTCTCTATGACCAAAATCCTCATTCTAACGTTGTAAGTGGGAACGCATTAATCGCTGGATATGCCCAATGCGGGCATCTTGACGTGGCTAAGAGTGTGTTTGATTTCATGACACAAAGAAACATTATCACCTACACAAGCCTCCTGGTAGGATACGCGCAATTAGGTTACATGCGAGAAGCACAAGAGCTCTTCAATACTATGCCTGAGAAGGACGTGGTGACGTGGACAGCCATGGCATCAGCATATGCCCAGTTTGGGCATGGCAAAGAAGCGTTGGCTGTGCTGTGTGGCATGGACGTTCTAGGGCTGGAATTCACCAACATCACATTCATGGCCGCCATTGCCGCCTGCGCTGCCCTAGGGATCGAGGCCCTCTGCCGCGTGATCCAATTCGAGGTATCGGTGCGAGGATTGGAACGCGACGATCCAATGCTGTCGAATGCGCTCATTGCGATGTTTAGGCGCTGCGGCAGCGTCGCCGATTCCCACAAGATCTTCTCGCGGATGGAGCATCGCGACGTAGTGTCCTGGAATTCGATGCTCGCAGTGTGCTCTGGCGATGAAACGCTAGAGTTCTTCGGTCGCATGGCCCAGGCGGGATTCACGCCCAGCGAGGTGAGCTTCGTCAGTGTTCTTGCGGCGTGTAGCCACAAGGGCGATGTCGAATTGGGAAGGAGCTACTTCGTTGGAATGTGGGCGGATTTTGGAATCGAAGCTACTGTGGATCACTACGCGTGCTTCATCGATGTTCTTGGGCGCGCCGGGGAGCTCGCCGCCGCCGATGGCCTTGTGGCATCCATGCCCTTCGAGCCTGATAGTGTTTTGTGGTCGAGCTTTCTGGGAGCGTGTAGAGTCCACGGAAATGTAGGACGTGGTGCGATTGCGGCTGTCAACGAGATCATGTCCAGGGATTCCACCGATTCCTCCTCCTTGACACTGCTCTCCAATCTCTACACGGAGATTCAGGGATCCAGAAGGAACACCACGAATCGATGAAGACGAGATGTGGTCTTTGGCCTCGATTGATGGGTTGGATGCATCCGCTTGTGCCGAGAAGATCCGTGCTTGCGGAAACACGAAGGATTTGCGAGCTGGAAAACGTCTCCACGAGCAATTCCTGGCGAGCGAGCACACCGGAGACAGGTTCCTGTCGAATCTTTTCCTGGAAATGTTTGGAAAGTGTGGCAGTGTGGATGACGCTCGCCGGGTGTTTGACGGCATCTCACGCCCCAACGCCTACTCGTGGAACCTGGTCATCTCAGCATATGCCAAGAATGGGCATCTTGACGACGCCAAGACCATGTTTGAGAAGATGCCCCGTCCCAATTCCGTCACCTGGAACTGTCTTATCACGTCGTATGCATCGAATGGGAATCTGGAGGATGCTCGAACGCTGTTCGATGCCATGCCGGATCCGACCGTTGTTTCGTGGACCGCTATCGTGGCTGCATATGCCCAAAAAGGGCATCTCCGTGAGGCTCGGAAGCTCTTCGACAAGATGCCAGACAGAAACGAGTTCTCCTGGACAGTTATGATCACGGCTTACTCTCAAAACCAGGACGTGCGCGAGGCAAAAGCTTTGTTTGATAAGATGACTCGGAAAAATGTAGTTGCGTGGAATGCCATGCTCGCCGCGTATGCCAGCAATGGCATTCTGGAGGAAGCCAAGGCGCTCTTTGACAATATGCCAGGGAAGGATGAAGCTTCGTATAATGCGTTAGTCACAGCGTATGCAAAACGAGGAAGTGTTGTCGAGGCAAAGAATCTCTTTGACCAGATTCCGAATCCAAACGTCGTTTCTTGGACTGCCCTGGTAACCGCATATGCCCAGAACGGCCATCTTGCAAGAGCCACGTCATTGTTTGCTAAAATGCCAGAGAGGAACACGGTGACTTGCAACGCCATGCTGGCTGCCTACGCGTCACATGGGGACATGGACGCTGCGCGGGAGCTGTACGACCGTATGGATGAGAGGGACGCGGTGACGTGGAGCACCATGATAAGTGGATATGCCAGGGCTTGGGACGTACGAGAGGCCCGCAAAATCTTTGATGGATTGGGGAAGCGCCAGCGCGACGTTACAGCGTGGAATGCCATGATCACTGGCTACGGGCTAAACGGTGACGTGGACGAGGCCAGGCAGCTATTCGACGAGATGACGCGGCGGGACGGGGTGACGTGGAATGCGATGGTGACCGTGTATGCCCAGAACGGGCACCTACTGGCCGCAAAAGTCCTTTTTGACAGCATGCCGTACAAGTCGCTTTTGTCGTGGACCAATCTGCTTGTGGCGTACGCGGAGAGCGGTCACATTGATGAGGCCAGGAGGATATTCGATGGAATGCCACGCTGGGATGTGGTGGCCAGGAATGCGATGCTGTCGGCATATGCCCAGGCGGGGTACGTGGCGGACGCGCGGCGAATGTTTGACGACATGCCAATCAGGAGCGCGGTGACGTGGAACGCAATGATTGCGGCGTACGGACAGAACGGGGTGGGCGGCGAGGCCATTCGTCTCTTCCAGGAGATGGACGTGGAGGGCATCCCAGCCGACGATATCACCTTTGTGAGCGTGATCGACGTCTGCGGGAGCGTGGCCGATTTGCGAGTGGGCGAGCTCGTCCATGAGGAGGTGGTGGCGAGGGGACTCGAAACCGAGATGGCTCTGGGCAACGCGCTGGTGACCATGTACGGCAGGTGTGGAGTGTTGGACACCGCACGGCTGCTATTTGACGAAATGGCGGGCAAGGACACGTGGACGTGGAACTCCATGATCACGGCATATGCCCAGGCTGGTCGCGAGGTCCAATCGCTGGAGCTGTGGCGAGCCATGCAGCTCCAGGGCGTCGACGTGGACGAGGTTACATTCGTTGGGATCTTGTCCGCGTGTAGTCACGGCGGCATCTTGGAGCACTGCGGCATTTGCTACTTTGGCACAATGCTTGGAGACTATGGGATTACGCCAATTGTGGACCATTACATTTGCATGGTAGACGTGTTAGGGCGAGTAGGCAAGCTGGATGACGCAGAGAAAACCATAGAATTGGTGCCGAAATATACGCCAGACACAAAACTGGTGGCTTGGACGACATTGTTGAATGGTTGTAGGATGCACCACGATTTCAACCGTGGAATGCGAGTGATCAAAGAGATGATCCAGCTTGACGTAAATAACGCTTCCCCATATGTGATGCTATCAAACATGTATCTTACTCCAGATTTTTGTGCCGCCCAAACATCCACATCGTGATTGCCATGTATTCGACCATTGGATGTGATAAAAATCTTTGGAACCGATCGTGAGCACATGCCACGTGCCATTTTTCACCACACCACGTGTCGCGTTTCCAGCGATGGGGCGGCTTTGTCCACCCAATGCCACCTCCTACAGGTGTAGTGCCCTGGTTTTTACAGAGTTTTTTAATCGCCATAAAATATCCTTTTGTTCCCTAAAAACCGAGAAGCCCGACACGTGGAGCAGCCGCCACGTGCTGATTTGCCACGTGCTGCGTGGACAGGCCGCTAGGTTTAGCGAGGATTGGGGGGAAGAGAGAGAGAGAGGGGAGGGAAGAGAGAGAGAGAGAGGGAGAGAGCGAGAGAGATCTTGCGCGGCGGCGAAGTGAGCGGCGGATCAGCATGATGAGCGGTAGCAGCGAGGGCGCATCCACGAGCAGCAGCAATCGCGTCCACTTTACCATGACCGTAAAGGTAGACATCGAAGCTCCCGCTCCCACTGCCAGTCCCACTGCTGCTACACTCTCCTCCTCGTCCTCCTCAGCGTCCTCCTCCACAATTTGTGCTGCCGCCGCCGCCGCCGCCACTGCCACTGCTGCTGGGACGCAGGATTTGCTGCTCAAACTCCAGCCGCTGCTGCCCCATCTCTGCATCACTCCTCCGCGCCACCAGCAACACCGCCACCACCAAGATCCTTCTCCAACGACGCAGCAACTGGGAGGAGCTGGAGGAAGGCATCTTGAGAGTGGTCTGGAGCTCAGCCTCGGCCTCTCGTCCTTCGCCCACTCGGGAGTTTCATCGTGTCCTCCTTCTCCCCTGCGAGACGAGGAGCAGCAGTGCGACGATCGTGTGCTCGCCCCGGCAGGGAGCTCGGGTGTTGCAAGTGTAAATGTAGGAAGCGCAAGGCAGCCATCGCTGGCTCGGTCGGATTCCCTGCCCGTGAACTGGAGAGTGTTGGAGCAGCAGCGGCTCAAGCGCGAGGTGCAGTGCCAGAAGCGGCAGGAGGCGCGCAAGAAGCGCAGGATTCTCATCGAGGAGCAGAAGCAGCAGCGCCGGAAGAGCTCCGGCTCTGGAACCACGTCCTCGCACTCTCACCATCACCCCAGGAAGAAGCCAGTCGTCAAGGATGAGGCGGACGTGGAGGATCGTCCCACCGAGAACAAGGCCACGAGACCGGGCCGCGGCCATAGCCATGCTATCAGGAAGTCCAGGAGGAGCTTGGATTCTTCCGCGGCCACCCTCGACTCCTCCGCCGGAAACGTTAAAGCTGAAGCTCCAGACGCTACCGCCAGGGCTCTAAATACGTGTACGACCGCGGGTACTGCTACGAGCTTTAGCGGTGTGATACGGCCCAGCCCTGTGCACGAGCCCAAGACCGAGTGGATTGACAAGTTCTTGGAGATGCGCAAGATGGTAAGGCCGGATGATGGTGGCGAAGAGGCCACTCTTCCGGATGACCAGCTGCCAGTTCCTCCTCGAGCCATGGGTTCTTCTCAGTCGAGCAGCGCCGGCTCTTCCTCGGTAGCCATGGTGATGGCCTCCGGATCGTTTGCATGCCCGTCTTCGATGGAGCAAAAGGTGGTCATATCTTCTCGCGAAGGTATGATGGTCCTCGAGCCATGGTATGACCACCATTGCATTTGGTCTTTGCAGATGGCGACGTAAGGCTTCCGCCGCCGGTACCTCCGCCACCTCTGACCCCGCCGCCACCTCCATCTCTCCTGCGCTCGTCTTCTCTTGGAGCAAACCTCCGCCAGGAGTATCTCCTCCTCCAGCGGCAGCAGCAGCAGCAAAGAAGCAGCACGCTCCGCGCTCCAAGTCCGGTTCGATGCAACAGGTCGTTGATGAGAACTTTGTCCGAGGGCGCCGCTATGCGATCGAGCATGGGCTCGTCCGTGGATAGCTGGAGCAGGCGAAGCAGCACGAGCTCGGCGTTCCGGAGCCCTAAGAAGCCGCAGCAAGAAGAACAAGTTGACGGCGCAGTAGGCTGGGAAGATCCGGAGAGGTCGAGCCAGGCAGCAGCGATGGTGGCACGATCCAGCAGCAGCAGTGTGGTGAGCGATCTGCCGTGGGTGACGACGACTGGAACGGGACCCAATGGCAAGACGGTGACGGGAGTTTTGTTCGCATACAAGAAGGGCGAGGTGAAGATTGTGTGTGCCTGCCATGGACAACACATGAGTGCCAAGGAGTTTGTGGAGCACGCCGGTGGAGTGGACGTTGCCAATCCCGAAAAGTGTATCGTCGTCAGCCCGGGCAGGAGAACTGCGACACAGATTTGAATCTCACTTCCACTAAAGGTTTCTAGAGATTTCGAGAGCTCGCTCGATCAGCACGGATTAACACGCTGCTCGAAAACAGAGGAGAAAAGGTACGAGAATTTTTCCTTCCTTTCTTCTTTCTTCTATCATTCATTGATCCACTCACGTTTCTAGGTGGTGGAGCTCATCTTCGACATGAACTTCCTCCTTTTCTCGCATCACGCAAGCAACTGTACATACATTGTTTCCTTCTTTCTTTTCTGGAAGAGTAGAGTATCACATCGTTCCTTGCCGAAAGTGTCTCTTTTTTCTCCTTTTCCTTTCGACTCGGACATCAAGAGAGGGTCCCATGTTTTGCAAAGGCAATCAATCAATCAATCAGAGCCATCTTATAGCTACACTTCTCTCTCTCCTCAGATCCTTGAGGACACTAACATTTTGCTCCTCCTCGCGATCGAGAAGAACCAAAAGGAAAGCTCTTGAGTGCTCAATTGCTTCCAGGATTCGTTTTCTTTGCTTCGAGCGAGCGAGATCATTCAATGGCCTCGGCAATTACACTCGAAAGGGATGCTAAGAGTAGTAGCAGTGACTACACCAGCTTGTCGTGCGAATTGGAACGACGAGGAGTCGTGCTCTACGTGAGAAGAAGCTCGGAGAATTTACTCGCGCTTCCTCCCCCTCCTCCGGCTCTACCAGGTCAGAAGAGTGTTCTCGATCGATTTGTCGAGTACCTTGACAAGATCATGCGTGTTCTTCCCAATCCCCTCCATACGTTATGCTGTGCTTTTTACATCACTGTCCTGTGCTTCACCAGATCATGACGTTCTAGCACTCTTTGTTCCTTTCCTTTACTCCTTCCTCTCGACTCACTCACGACGCAAGAGTTGGATGGAGGAAGAAAAAAAAACTTAGTTGCTTTTGTGAAAATAATTAACAGGAGGGGCTGGAATCAACAGCGCCAATCTACTTAGCTTGCGAGCTCCAAGATGTCTTGTTTGAAAGAAGAAAGGAAAACGTAGAAAAAAGAGAGAGCTTACCACAAGCACAAACTTTAGCATGAATCCATGATGGGAGAAGACTTGAGAGGCGATTTGATGGTGTTATCGGTCAGGTTGAGCTCCATGCAATCCACAGACATGGCGTCCAAGTCTTCCCAGCTCGACTTGGAGCTCGCCACAAAACCATTTCGATGGTTATGGTGGTGGTGGTGGTGGTGGTGGAAGCCATTCTTCTTGGTGACGATGCCATTCTTCTTCTTGTTCTTGGCACCTGTGATGTTCACCTTGACGAGATCGTCCGGAGTTATCTCCACTTCCAGAACGATCCCACAGTCGCTTCTAGGCGACTCGAGTGCCTGTTCTTCGAATCTCTTCGCTTCTCCTTCCACGTCACCCGACTTGTCCAAACAAGAAGACGATGAAGAAGACGAGCAAACTCCAACTCCATCTTCTTCGATAGGCCGAGAATGCGTTGTTGTCTCAGCAGTAGCACCAAGGTCGTTGTTCTTCTCTGTTCTTCCTTCTTCGTCCCGGAGAGAGTCCGAGATATCATCGTCGCCACCCCTGAGCAAAGCCGACGTCGGCTGCTGCGAATCCTCCACCACCATCGTATCTACATCTGCGTCAGCTCGATCGTCATCGTCTCCACCTCGCGGAAGAGCTCCGACTTGCGACAGCGATCTCTTGAGCTCCACTTCATCGATCCCGCCACACGAATGGCTCCTCCGCGGCAACTCCTCCATCGACTTGGTAGCAGCAACAGCGTTACTCGACGTGGAGCACGAGTCGAGCGTCCTGGAGCACCACCTCTCCTCATACTGCCCCCTGGGAGGACTCAAGATCTTGATCGGCTCCAGCTCCCTCGAGTGATTGTTGGAGTCCAGCGACTGTGGCGTCTCGTGTCCCAGTCTCACAGCTCGCCGGTCGCACAAGCTCACAGCCAAGCGGACGCTGGTGGCCTTGGCCGCCTTGGCCGCAGTGATGGCTGCCGGGAACTCGAGCTCGGGTAGCGGCGATGGAGGGCCCGACTCGGACACCCCGGAGGCCGGAGAGATGAGGCTGGTCAGCGGGCTCTCGGGATACAAGTGATACGACGGTTGCATGTCGCCCCGGGACACGTAGTCGGGTGACGCAAACGGCGAGGCCGAGTATGGCGGCGCCGCTCCTCCCGCCACCGCGCCTTTGTTCTTGAGCGACGTCAAGAGCTGCGCGAATGGAACGTCGGGCGAGGACGGGGTGGTGAGGTGCGCGAGCTCCGGCGGCGGCGTGAATGGAGCGGTGGACGGCGCGGTGGTGAAGGCCGAGAAAGCTGGCGGGGTGACGAGCGTCGTCTCGTGAGCGTATGGTCCGATGGTAAACATGGTGGCGGTGGAGTCGAAGGCCGGGGAGCAGGAGCTGGCGGCGGGGACGCAGAGAGAGACGGTGAAGCTGGCGGGGGACTGCACCGTGGAAGGATTCCCCGAGTTTGCGAAGGACGCCGGGGAGGATGGCGGTGCTAGCAGCGATGGCGAGAGGCCGACGAACTGGTTGGCGGCGGTGGAGGACGAAGCTCCGTTTGTCCATGCATTGGTGGCCGACGCCGGGCCTTCTTGTCTCGCGGGGCAAATTCGCATTCCTCGCTTCCGGGAGGAGCCGAGGCACCAGAATTTCCCCCAGCACTTCCCCCGCTGCCGCTGCGAAGGACAAGAACACGAAAAAAAACGAGTGTAAGTTCTTCTCGTTCCGCTAGAGAACCAGCTGAAACTATTCTTTTCTATCGCGATACAGTAACGCTCGCTCGCCTTGAAGAAAGCACGCAGCCACAAAACAAAATCTAGCACTAGGAAACCGATGCTTGCTTCACTCCACTCTACTCTCACACTCTCCACTTTCACTCGAGCGAGCGCACGAAGAGCAAGCTTTTTTCTTTTTTCTTTGTTCTAAGTTCTATCTAGTGAAAGAGTGAAAGTA